AAGATGTTGAATATTCCTTTAACCCTAAGCATTCCCTCACCCCTTTTCAGTAGATCATTGGTGATTCTGATTTTTATTCACATTGATTTATTTTGCCTGCCTTTTGAACTTCAAGTAAAGAGTTCTATTTAAATATAGTAAGTAGTAAATAGAGTATACATTGTATACTCTTTGAGGTCTAGTTTCTTCCACTCAACAAAATGTCTATCATAGCCAGGCCTGGTGGCACAGGTGTGTAATCCCAGCACTCAGGAGGCTGAGGCAGGAGGACTGCTGTGAGTTCAAGGGCAGCCAGGGGCTATACAGTGAGACCCTGTCTCAAAAAACCAACCCACAAAATGTATCAAATCAGATTCAGTGTAAATCGGTGGCAAATCCCTTCCGATTGCTGTTTGCTGCCTGTTGTATGGTTGTACCACAACTGTTAACTCCATTCTCCTGAGGCCCGAACTTGGCGGTGTTTCTCCTCTGCTATAAAAAAAGTTACTATGAATATTCTTGAATATGTCTTTTGAGAAGCAAATGGACTCTCTTCCTTTCTGGATTGCAGATGCATGTTTAACTCTGCTGGCCGTGGTAGCTGAGCCACCTCATTCCTTCTTACGGCTACCAGCAGTCGGGCGCAGAGGGAGGGAAGCCCAGCAGATGAAGGGTGAGGTCGCGCTCCCCGGAATTTCTGTAACAAGTTCACCTGGGATCTCCTGGGATGGGTGGGACGAGGGTTTGCCGAGAACCAGATGGAGCAGGAGACTCACGGCGCTGACCCTTCCTGCTGCGTCCTGTCCTGGACAGTGGGGACAGTCACCCCCATGTGCTCTGGGGCTCCCCTCAACGGCAAGTGCAGCGGTTAACCTGCAGGTGAGCGCGGGCCGGGAGCCCACACTTGGCTAGCAGAAGGAAGCAATCCTCTCTCAGGCCCCGACTGAAAGTCGAGTTATGTCTGGGGAAATTTATTACCTCCTGCTCTTTTAACAAGAAGTCTATCTTCCTGGGTAGAATTTCCATGACCGGTGACAGGTGCCTGGGGCCAGCTTATTAAAAACCATCATTTCAGCCCCCAACGAGGGATGCCGCGTATATGGGAGCAGAATGCTGACTTCTGGTTCCGTGGCATAGCTGGGACTTGGAGAAAGCACCACAGGCCACTTAGTATTAAAGAAGAAGGAAATCCACACCCTGGCCCGTGACGGAGCTCACCTCATGCTCAGAAGCTGTGGCACAGCAGGATGAGCCCCGAACCGCTCTCGAACTGGATTCAGGTCCCAGCTGTGGCCGGGGCAGACAGCTCCCTATGGTGCTTGTTAATTTTCCAAGTGCTTCTAAAGCGCCGGTTATACCCACGTCTGTTCTCTCACGTGGCACAGTGAGGTACAGGGAGAGGACAGAATGTACCCATTTTTCAGGGAGGGGAAATGAATAGGAGTCCCTTGTTGTTTGGGGATGAGGGAAGCCTCCACTCACTAGCTGGTTTGTTTGTATTTAAGACAGGGTCTCGCTCTGTAGTCCAGGCCAGCCTTCAATTCACTATGTAGTCTAGGCTGACCTCAAACTCGCAGTGATCCTCCTGCCTCAGCCTCCTGAGAGGTTTGCAGTTTATGTAGGTGCCATGGAATGTGGCCAAATTCATTTGGAAGTTCAACAGTTTATGCTATAGAAAACTGCCTTAGGTCCCCCTCATCTTCCTGCCTCTGTCTCCCTCCTGTCTTTCTCAGTGCTGAGGGTGGGTGGCATCTAGGCCTTCACCCATGCCAGGGAAGTGCTTTACCTGAGCACTTACTCAGCACAGGTTCCCAAGCTACACCCTCCAGCCCCTACCATAGATAAGTTTTATATTCTCGGGCCAGGTGTAGTGGCACAGGTCTGTAATCCCAGCACTCAGGAGGCGGAGGCAGAACTAACTTGAGTTTGAGGCCAGCCTGGGCTACATAGTGAGTTCAAGGCCAGAATGAATTACATAGTGAGACCCTGACTGGTGCCCTCTCTCTCTCTCTCTCTCTCACACACACACACACACACACACACACACACACACAAGAAAAGAAAAGTAAAAAGAAAGAAGTTTGGGGCCATGTACTATAATCCCTCTTCTTTTTTTGTTGTTTTTTTGGTTTTTTGAGACAGGGTCTCACTACATAGTTGAGACTGACCTGGAACTCACTGTGTAGCCCAGGCTGGTCTTGAACTCACAGCGATCCTCCTGCCTCAGCCTCCTGAGTACTGGGATTACAGGTGTGCGCCGCCATGCCTGGCTTATATCCCTCTTCTTGTCCCTTCTTACTCTGCCATTTTACCTAAAGATTCCTGGTTATCTTTCTCCTCTCCTGTTCACAAAATATTTGGAAAAACAACACAGTGTATCCCACATTTCCATTTGTTTAGTCGTCACGGTGGTCTCTGGGAAAGTGGCACAGGGGTGAGTTTTTCATTTGGGTGTCTGGAGCCCAGGGACACGGGTCAGAGCCAAAAGGCCGGATGTGAGGTGCTTGTGGAATGTGCAGAGGTGACAAAGCCAGGCCGTGGCTTCCTCTCCCCAGGACGGGAAGGTGGGGCTTGCTTGCTCTCCTGGACCTGAGAGACGCAGTCTTCGACCTGAGCCTCCTCCATGGCCTCTTGCTGCAGCTCACCCACGCGCGCCAGCGGGCCCCGTGTAGGGGTGAGAAACCAGAGCCACCGCTGTTGCGTTTCTGAGATGGCTCAGACGCTGGATGCAAACCCTTTCCCCATAAAGGCACTTTATGTGTCCCTGAAAGGTTTCCTTGGAAGCGTCTCAGGGTGGCCCCTGTACTCTCTGTACTCTGACCTTTTAGGAGACCCGAGGGGATTTTGACTCAGCCGCTGGGTGAGAGTGCGGCTCCGGTTAGGACCATCTGTCTGCACCTTGGGCCGTGGGTTAGGCTGAGGGGTTCGCTGCTAGCTCAAGTCTCACACACATTCATACTCTCCAATCCCTTTTCCCCTTTTTATGTATTTACTTTGGTTTTTGAGACAGGGTCTCACTATGTAGCCCTGGATAAGCCCTGGACTCGTGATTCTCCTGCCTCAGCTTCACAAGTGCTGGGATTACAGCTGCCCACCCCCATTTTCATCCCTGTATATAACATATTGGGATCCTACCCGTCCCCTCTTAGCCCTCTTACACTGCCTCTTCCTCGCCATCCACTCTTCTTGTCCTTTCACGTCACCCCCCATGCCATATATTAGGGAAAAAGGCGACACTTATCTCTCTTCCTGTGGCTTATCTTGCTTAACATAACGATCTCCAGTTTTACCCATCTTCCTGCACGTGATAGGGTTCCCATTCCTTTTCATGGCTGAGTAATACTCCATTGTGTATTTGTGCCAGATTTTCTTTGTTCACTCATCCATTGAAGGGATCTTGGCTGATCTCCAAATCTTGGCTATTGTGAGTTTTGCTGCAGTAAATCTCAGTGTGCAGGTATCTCTATAGGATGTTGACTTTAATTCCTTCAGGTGTGTACCAAGGAATGGTATAGTGGGGTCTTACAGTAGTTCTAGTTTTAGTTTTCAGAGGAATCTCTATACTGATTTTCACAGTGGCTGTACTAATTTACTTTTCCACCAACAGTGTAAAGCTCTTTTTCCCTGCATCGTCCCCAGCATTTAGTGTGTGTGTGTGTGCGTGTGTGTGTGTGTGTGTGTGTTTCTGGTTCCAGGGATTGAACTCAGGACTTTGTGCTTGCCAGGCAGGCGAGGTGCCACTGAGCTAAATCCCCAGCCCTGTTTTTGTATTTCTGATGATAGCCATTCTGAATGGGGTGGGCTGGGAATTTAGCTCAGGGGTGCCACGCCTGCTTGGCAAGCACAAGGCCCTGAGTTCGAGTCCCAGCACTGAAAAAAAATTCTGAGTGGGCACAAAGGGGATCTCGTGTAGCTTTGATTTGTATTTCCTTGAGGTTAAAGATGTTGAGCTTTTTTTTTTCACACTTAAAATGTATACTTGGGGGCTGGGGATTTAGCTCAGTGGTTCCACTGCCTGTTTTGCAAGCGCAAGGACCTGAGTTCAATCCCTGGTACCCAGTAAATACATAAATAAATAAAATACACGTATTATTCATCAATGTTTGGGGTGTTACATTTCAGTGGCTTTCATTTTTTAAATTTTAAGAATTTTGATTAGTACATGTTTGCAATACAAAATGGTTACATTTGTAATGGGATTGGTACATGGACATAACATATTAAATTTTTTCATTTAATTATTGGTGATTTGTAATTACTCTTTTGAGAATTGTCTGTGCAGTTCATTTGCCCATGTTTTGATTGGGTTATTTGTTTTGGAGGTGTCTTTTTTGGGGGGAGGACAGGGTCTCCCCTTTGTAATTCAGGCTGGTATTGAACTCAAAGTGATCCTCCTGCCTCAGCCTCCAGAGTGCTGGGATTACAGGCATTCATCGAGAAGCTGGGCTCGCCATGCTGGTTTTTTTATTTGAGCTTTGAGTATATTTTGATTTATTTTTTTTCTTCCTTTTGGTACCGGGGACCGAACTCAGGACCTTGAGATTGCGAGGCAGGCAGAGGAACCACTGAGCTAAACCCCCGGCCCCGCTGAGTATATTTTCAGAATCAGAAATGGTGACCCCTCCGGCCTCGCTCTTTTTGCTCGGGATTGCTTCGGCTTTTCTGAGTCTTCGGTTTCTATAGGAATTTTAGGATTGTTTTAGGGTTGCGTGAGGATGACATTGGTATCTTGATGGGGGTTAAAACACTACTCATGAAAAGCAGGCCCGCCATGCCGCAGATGTGGGGAGAAAGAGGTGGAATGAGGTCTCACTGCCCCCCAATCGTGAACCTCCCAAGGGAGAACAGAGCCCATGATACCGACTGCCAATTCCCTACAGGAGAATTTTCTGTCCTATAGTCTCTTGGTCAACTTCCCTTTTCCCCTCCATCCCCCACTCCCTCCCTCCCCTCTTCTGCTGTGGACCCCCCCAGCCCAAGCTTTGCGCATGCTCAGCGCTCGCCCCGCCCCCAGCCCTTGGCTACCTTTAAGTCCTGCAGGGTGGACAGTCGCTGCGTCTCTCTCCAGTGGGCCTCTCTTGTCCTTGGCCCTCCCGCGGTTCCTTCCTTCACCTGAAGAGGGAAGGGACATTGCTGATAACGGTGTCTTTGTGGGCTGCGAGGTGGAAAACCCTGGCCTCCTGGGCCCCTTCCTTCACAGCTGGAGCGAGCTCAGGGCCCTGTCGGAAAGGCGTTGAGCTGGGTGACTGTGGGCCGGAGGAGTTAGCCAGGAGCCAGGAAAGCAATAGAAAAGGCATAAATAAGTCAGACTCCGAAGGGGGCATCCCACGGTGGTGACAGAGTTTCCACCAAGTGAAACTGAATTCCAAAGTAAAGCTGTGAGTCACTTTTATAATGAGGTGAAAGTTTGGTCACTGAGAGGTAAGATTTTAGTACCACCTCGGGCACTGCCACTGAGATCCATCCCCAGCCTTTTGTTATTTTTATTTCCAGACAGCGTCTGCCTAAGCTGCCTGGAGGGACTCAAGGCTGTGATCCTCCTGCCTCAGCCTCCTGAGTGACGGGGAAGGCAGAGCTCCGAGTGTCACGATTTTTTCCTGGGGATGTTCCTGCCCTGCCTTTGTCACCCCAATCTCAGAGCGGCAGGAAGGGAAGGGGTGAATCAGGAGGAGGTTTTTGTTTGTTTGCCTTCACATTTTGGAAGCCCACGGTCACACCGGATTGCGGGAAGACCTTAGACACATTCTCAAGTCCCCACACATCTGAGGAGACCTCGGCATCCACAGCAATCACGGTCTAGATCATCCTCACTTCTCAGGGCTTCACACTGGGCAGGAGAAAATGCACAGAGTCTGAGAAATTCATGCAGCTGCGGAGGCTGGGGAAGACGCGACTTCTATGTCTGTCCATCCGTCCGGCAGGCGACAAGGGGGCTCCCTGAGAGCCATCCTCAGCCTCGGCCAGCATCACAGCCCTGTGCTTGGATACTGTGGCAGCTGTGAGGTCCAGGCTCATCGGTTTTTATGAGATCTGCTTTATTGGCCATTCAATAACCAGCCAAGGAGACAGGCCCGGAAGTGAGCTGGGCTCTCAGCTGCACCGGGCTGAGTGCAGCCTGCCTTTTCCAGTCCATGTCTGACCTGCAGCAAAAGGCGGTCCTGAGCTTGCTGGCCAACACCTCCAGTCCTGCTGCATCCCTCTCCTTCCCTGGCCTGGGCCTGGGATGAGAGAGAGATGACCCTGTCCCAAAGGTTTGGGGCAACATTCAGGAGGCTGAGGCAGGAGGATCTCCCAGAGTTTTAGGCCAGCCTAAACTACATGATGAGCTTTGGCCCGGCAGGAAGATCCTCACAGGTCACACTCTGGTGCTAGTGTCATCCTAGGTGCCAGTGGTGTGGCTGCATGGTGGGCAACTGCTCGACTCCCTCTCCTCTTTTGTCCTCATCAGAGTCGTCAAAGCACTGGTGACACTGGAATCCGTTTCCTGCTTTGCAGGAAAGGGAGACTGAGGCTCAGAAACGTCACACAATCTGGCCAAAGTCAGGTAGCTATTTAGCCCGGGGTCTGGAGTCCCTCTTACCCCAAGGTGTGTGCTATCCCCACAGAGATGAGACCGGCTGGTGATGGTGATTATTGTTACTCTCACTATTATTATTAGGGGATCAAACCCAGGACCTCACGCCTGCTGAGCGAGTGCCTCACCTCCTGAGCTACATCCCCGGCTTTTAGGAAGCGAGAGTCCCCAGGGCAAGGCGGTTGAGAGGGAAGGCAACACGGGTGGTCATGTAGGCCTCCAGGACGAGGTGCGAGTCCCGAAGAAAGGGCAGGACGTGGCCTGCGGGAAAGAGAAGGCGCGTGGTGCAGACCGAGGCCGGGGCTGCCGCTCAGAGGTGGAGCACGTGTGCAGCACATCGAGGTCCTGGGTTCAAATCCAGAAGCGAAAAAACAAACAGGAATGCAGGTGGGAAGGGTCAAGGGCAGTGCACAGCCCAAGGAGAGAGGCCTGCGTCTTGATACTCTGATTCCAAAGTTCCAACGATGAACAGAAAACCCACAAAAATACCAGACAGAAAAGAGCCGAGGGGCTGGGGATTTAGCTCAGTGGTTCTGCCCCTGCCTCTCAAGCACAAGGTCCTGAGTTTAATCTCCAATGTCCCACCCCCCCAAAAAATAGCTTTTTTTTTTGCTGGTTGGTTTGTTGAGAGAGAGCCTCTATGTAGTCCAGGCTGGCCTGGATTCCTGCCAGTCTTGCTTCAGCCGCCTGCGTGCTAGGACTATGCTCAGCTGCTTTAAAAAGTCTTTTAACCCATGCAGAATGGTATGGCTTTTTCAGAGAAAATTGGGCATGTGTTCTAAGTTTGTATTTTTCCTCCATTTCTTTATTTTTCATTTTTCTTTCTTTCTTTTTTTTTTTTGGAATGGGAATCGAACTTAAGACCTTATGCTTGCAAGGCAGGTTAGTGCACCACTGAACTAAATCCCCAGACCAAGAGTAAGGACCTTCTATCTCCAATTCAGTAAACCATCTTTTTTGGGCATGTGTTAAGATACCAGAATTCCAGAGATGTTCAGGGAGCCAGGTTATGGTTCAGATCAAGCATCTTCTATGTGCAAAGTGTTGTGTGAGTTCCTGTGAGGTATACAGTGATGAACTGTAATCCCAGCCCTCGGGAGGCTGAGGCAGGAGGATTGCCACAAGTTCGAGGCCAGCCTGAGGTACACAGTGAGTTTAAGGCCAGCCCAAACTACACAGACTACTAAAAACAAAAACAAATCTAAGCTCCTGCCTCAAGAATTTGGAAGAATAAGCCCAAAACAAGCAGAAAGAAAGAACCATAAAGAACTGAAATTATGAAATTTAAAACAGAAAAAGAAAAACTGAAAAGAAAGAGAAAAATCAAACAAGGAGCCAATTATGTTTCTCATAAGCCTGGAATGTCTAAAAGGACAGAGTAAACAGGAATGAAAGAAGCGATCACTACAGACCTTTCAGACATGAAAAGGATGATAGAAAGATAATATGGCAAATAATAATAGGGCAATATTGCTATTGTTTAGCATTAGCAGCCCCCCCCCAAATATGAGGTCTCACTCCCTACTGCCCATAAATACTACTTTATTTGAAAAAAAAGTTTTCGTGGATGTGATTGTATCCCATCTTGGGGCAAAACTGATCGATCCCCTTCAATGGGGCAAAACGCCTGGCACATAAAATTTAAAGGGGGAGTGCGGGCGTGGTGACGCACGCCTGTCATTCCAGCACTGGGGAGGCTGAGGCAGGAGGATCGCTGTGACCAGCCTGGGCTCCATAGTGAGTTCCAGGTCAATCTCAACTACAGAGCGAGAACCTGTCTCAAACAAACAAACAAACAATAAATAAAGGGGGAGTGATCTAATCTGGCTTATGGTTCTGGGAGGTTCTGTCCATAGTCGGCTGGCTCCAGTGCCGAACTGGCACAGTGGCAGAGGGGAAGGTTATGGCAGAGGAACGCTGCTCGCCCCGTGGTGGCCAGAAAGCAGCGAACAAAGGGAGGGGCTAAGAAGGGAGCCGGACCTCCCAAAGGCCAGCCCCGGGGACCGGCCCCTTCTGAGCAGGCCCCGCCTCCGACCAGCACCTTTGGCTATGAACTTATGAACAGATCCATCCGTGGGTGCCTAGAGCATCCCCATGACCCATCTACCTCCCGAAAGCCCTACCTGTAAAGGCACGAGGCTTGGGGGACTCTGGATCCAACCCATAACATTCTGCCCCCGGCCTTCGAAGGCCTTGTGTCGATATATCTCACTCTGTAAAATGTGTTTAGGCCATCGCTAGCAGTCCCCAAAGTCTTACACTGATAAGAACACATGTGACACTCGATCTTAGCCAAAAGGCCAAGAAGCGGTACCAAAGTCGTAACAATATAAGCGGTGCTGAAAAGTCCCCATCCAAAGCCTCCTCTGAGACTCAAGGCAAACTCTTCGCTGTGAGCCTCCATAAAAATTAAGAATAAAGTTAAGTGCTTCCGACACGCAGTGGTATAGAGCAATCACTTCCATTCCAAAGTGGAGGAGTAGGGGTATAGAAGGGAATCGGACCAAAGAAGACCAAAACTCCAGCAGGGTAAACATGAAGTCCTGCAGTTTCACGTCCAGCACTTTGTGGAGCCGGATGTGAACTCCAAAGGGTCTGGGCATTTCCCCTCCGTGGCCCTGCCCATGTGACCTCTCTGGGGCTTTCCTGAGCAGGTGAGCCCTGTTCCCGGCAGCTCCAACCTCCCTCGAGTCTCCAGTGAACCTTTGGCTTCACTCTCACAGCTTTGGGTAGTGCTTTTTGTTTTTTCTTTTTTTGGTACCGGGGATCAAACTTGGGACCTTGCCCTCGAGAGTCAGGCGACAGCACCACTGAGCTAAATCCCTGGCTCTGTGTAGCACTTTTTTGGGAGCTGGTTGCTTGGCTTCCTAGGCCTGCCTTTGGAATCCGGTGGAGCTTCAATGACCCCACAACCCTCTAGGATATGTGGGTGTCGAGATCAGCCACCACCCACAGTAACCTGGCCCCTGTGGTTCATGGTCCAGAGGCCTCTGAGTGCCTGCAGGGCTGAACCCTTCCCTGTGGGGCCCAGAATGAGCAAGGTACCCTGGGACTCTTCCCAAAGCAAAGCCTTTCAAAGGAGTTTACTCCTTTACACCCTTGAACCTGTGATGGGTAGGGTCCGGCTCCCTCCTGGGATACCCTCAAGTAATCTTTCCTCTTGTCCCAATGCAAAGTGTGTGGCTTCTTGGTGGCATTTCTCTCCGATGCCACCTCTGTTTTTGTCTCAACTTTACACTTGGTTCCCTTTGGGCCAAAGTTTAAAATTTTCAAGATTTTCTGCTCTTTTTTTTTTTTTCCTGCTCTGTCTTTTGCTCCTGATTCTTTTTTCTTTTTCTTTCTTTCTTTCTTTTTTTTTTTTTCTTTGTACAGGGGATCAAACTCAGGACCTTGCGTTTGTGAAGCAGATGGTGGAACCACTGAGCTAAATCCCCAGCTGTCCCTGATTGTCACCATAAATCTGCCTGAAAGCAGCCGATAGTAGCCATATCACAGCCCAAATATTGGACTGTCCTGAAATTTCATCCACCAGATTAAT